TCTGTGCATATTTTTGATGCCTACCGCATCGGGATTGAGGACGGATATTTGGTTCCACTGTATGGCCTAGGCGCCTCACGTGCGGACATTATAATGTCATTGGTACAGGCTGAGCGACGCCTCTCGGACTTCAATAGTGAGGACCCAAGTTTTGATGCCTCCACAGTTCTCGATTTGAGTATCGACTCTCTGCGGGCCGGTGGTGGATCCATCACGGCCCCGATTGAGTATGCTGAGGCATACATTTATGTCGAAAATAACAAGGTTGACATGGTCCCCGCTGCACAGCGCGACGGCCAAAGCGCCATTGTTTTTGCTGACCCGCCGTCTGGGAAGCACCATAGGCGGGCAGCCACTCCTAGGGGAGATCATCGGTCAGCTACCCCGCGACCTGACCACAGGGAAAAGGGAGATCAACGAAAGGGCAATGCCCCTGCGTACCCTTGGCCCAAGGGTGAAGGTCACAAAGGTGACCAGTTTTCAGGCAAGGGTCACAAAGGTGACCAGTTTTCAGGCAAGGGTATCAGTACAAAGGCAAGGGTGGCCAATACGGCTACCAACACGGACAGTACGGTCGTGGCGGATCCGCCAGATCGAGACACTTTCCCAATGGGAGGGTACATGCAACAGCCCATGGCTGGCATGATGCCGCAAATGTGGCCTGGCGCAATGCCGCAGAGTTGGCAGCCGCATATGCAAGGTGATCCCCGCGAATTCGAGAATCCGAACTCGCCACATACCCCTACCTGGGGAGATGATGACGAGTTGGCCGAAACCGTGCCTCCTCCTCCTGGGGACTGGAACGTCAACAAGGGGAAGGGACGGCACGGCGGCGGACGACATCAGTGATACCTGAAGTCCGTCCGTGTGTATTACATGACTGCGCCAATGCGCGTATGTTCTCAAGTCGGAATTCACAGGTAGGACTATGCTCCTTGTAGTGTTTCCCTGTTTCGGCTATTCGCCATCTCACAATTCGACTGCACGCGTGGCTATGCGCTATTCGCGCCAGCTGCGATTACCTGTCAGGTGTACGTCGCCACAGCAAGGCAGTCACCCTCGGCGGCGTCTATGGCCGCTGGCGATCAGCATCATCCTGCACCGCTGCAGCTGCTGGTGATGGAACTCATCAAGGTGCTGAGGTGAGGATCACGTATGCGTCGCACCGCTGACGGTGATGTTCTAGTCGGACCTGAACCGCTGCTGACAGCCGGTGGTATTCCTATCGAAGGTCTTTGCGTGATCGCGCGCCTAGACGGTGCTACTTTAAAGACCCAGGTCTTGTGGTCGAAGCACCACGTTTCAACCAGTGGGCCAAAGCGCCTGAATCATGAACTCAGAAAACAAATCCACTTGAACCTTACGGTTCATTGTGGTTGCATAGCAAATGTAGTGTATTTCATGCCTGCCATTATGGAGTTGAAACTTTGTTCTCTTTCCTTCTTTTGTTTTTTTTGGTTGATTTGGTTACCGGCGCGAATCCGCCCCATACCCGTAATTCGGGGTGGTGGCGGGATCCGGGCTCCAAAGTGAGCCCGGGTATGGGGTCGCGAACCCTGGTAACTTAATCCTCCGTGTTTCCTTTTCATTGTAACTCAACTCCAACATGGCCAATGCGCCTTTCCAAATTCACTCCTTCTCTTTGTACAGGCGAGGGGGGTGTTTTTGGGGGCATGTACTTTTATCGCAACATGTTTAATTTCATGCCAATGCCCAACGCGGCATTTGGCTCAAGCTTTTCAACCCGTCGACTCGCACCCGCAATTTCGGCGCCAAAACATCGCGGCACGTGGTGTACTTCATCAGCACGTTGTGCTGTTGCCGTGCGCCTGTGGTGGTGTCCTTGGCGGAGGTTGGTCGGGGGTATTGGTTGGGGTTGGTGCGCACTGGTTTGCTTTGCTTGCTTCGCTGCATTGTTTGCCTGCTTGGTTTGCTGCTTTGTGCTTGCTTTCGGTTGTCTCTGCCCTTGCTGGGCTTCTTTACCTTGTTACAACTGGCACCCTGTTTTGGTTCGTGTTTGGCCAGCCGAGGGCACCACTTTGCCCTTGGGACTGGGGGGTTTAAACAGTCTCTTCTTGTTGGTGGGATTGGGCCTGTTTATTCTCTCCCGAAATACTGTTTCAAACCCTTTCGCATTTAGCAAACGTGTGTCTGTAGCTTATTTTTGGATAATTGGCATGCTTACGCATGCCAAGTTTATAAACCTCAGGGTGCTAACTTTAGGAAGACGTATGTTTGGCACAAATCTTCAACGCAATTTGCATACGTATGCAATATTTTGGAAGACGTATGCTTAGCAATCTGCAAGCAGATGTATGTTTGGGACAAATATTATTGTCGTGTTGCAATTCTGAAACACGTAAGTATGGCAAGCACAGCTTGCCATGCACAAGAAATCATAAGAAACGTAAGATATCGCTGATCTATGCAGCTTTCAGCTGCAAGACTCAGCTCTTTTTACAGTTGGATGTTCAATATTTCAATATACGCATGGGCTCTGCCCATGCTCTTGAGAAAAGACAGCTAACACAAACATATTTATCGCATAATGAGCTGGAGCAATTGGAGCGCAGCTCCAATCTAGTTGCTTGAGCTCAAGAAGCACAAGATGCAAAGATGAGCACCTGCAACGATATCTGCAGATGCAAATAGCATTCTCTGCATAAAGCTGTTCAGCTTTGGAATAAGAGCTTTGGAATAACATTCTCTGCAGCTATTCGTGTTGCTGAAGAGCTCTTGCAACAGTAAAGCTGTTCAGAATAGATTCAAGTAGGCACAAGCCACAAGCAATTGCTTGTGATGAGATGTTACCTGCAGAAGATGAAATGAGAGATGAGATAAATTATCTCCAGTTACCTGGAGTTACCTGCAGAATATCTTGGAAGAGGCTTATGTTCTGTTTTTTACACATCTCATCATATTATTGATGTCTTGCATCAAGAACGCTTAGCATCAACAAAGTATTGTCTTCAGATGATGGGCTGTGTTTTTTTTTCGGATTTTTGTTTTTTGTTTTCTTGGTGTTTATGAGCAAAGGCACCAACAAAAACAAAAAAGCAAAAAACCAGACCCATGGCCCTGAACTCGCAGATGCAGATGATGGGCTGTGTTTTTTGTTTTTTTGCCTGAAAAAGCTCAGCCCCCAGGAATCTGAAAAACTCAGCCCCCAGGAATCTGAAAAAACTCAGCCCCCATGACGACCCCTTCTGCATTATTAATACGAGCCACGGTCAAATTACTAAATTGGCGACAAGCTACTGGAGGCCACGGTCAACTTATGTCGATTCCCTAATAGGCATGGGAACATTGGCACAGCCTTTGCCTTCGTGCGTCCCGATGTGGGCGGCTGCCAAAGATAAGGGTCCCTTGGTCTTCGGTTCGACGCTTTCGACAGTTCGGAATGACTGCTTCCCCAACAACTTGACCACATTCTTACTTGCTAGGGGCAAACAACCAATCCGCTCTAAGAGCGCCCGAGTGTTGGACAGCTCCATGTCCTTTTGGTTGGAAGTCTGAAGGGTACACAGCTTTCCTGGTACTCTGCGAGTTGGGATCAGGCCGTGGGGGATTTGAACCCCCTGTTCCTCTTGAATCCAAAGGGGGTTGGAGCACAGAGAGATGCTGGATTTTGACGCGCATTTTGTTTGCGCAACCCTGAGGCGCGTCCGGACTTTTTCGAAGCCCCCACTACAAAGCCCCCCCCCTCCCATTTTTAAAAGGTAGAAACACCGTCGACTTGCGATCAACATTGGGGGACTCAAAAAAAAATCCCTCACAAAACCCAAGAGAATTCACAAGATGTCCATCTCCTTCAAGGCATCTTTTGACAGTGGCTCATTTGGATGTGGTTGCTTGAAGGGTTTTGAGACAAACCCATTCTGACGCAGACCACATGTTAATGTCCCGTTTCTTGGGGTAGTTTCCCAAATCGTAATGGGGACTAGAATGGCTATCTAAAACTTCATAGATTCATATCCATGTTTAGTTTGGAGCCCAAAGTGAATGGATGATGGGTGCTTCTACATTAACGATTTGCTTTGGCTGGTTTTAAGGAAAAGCAGGGGCAAGGGGGGGCGTTAGTTCAGGAATGCGCCCAAGCCAAGGTATTTGGCACAATAGTTGGTTTCATGCGTCAGTTTCCTTTGCGTCTGCAGCTCGTTTTCGGACTGAGGTCGGTTGCCAGTCAAGAGAATGTTCAGGAGCGTCCCAGACAGATACTTCCTTTAGTATGCCTGGTTTGGGCGAGCTTTGCCAGTGCAGGAGGCTCCCCGCAATTAAAGTGTAGCCTTTCTCTTGGAGGTATGCCCGACTGCCATTCTGATCCTTGTCTCCTAGTCAACCTCCCTGGAACTGCCAATAACCCTGCTCAAGCCCCTTGCAAGTAGGGTCTTATTGGCCATTTGAGCAACTGTCAGCAGCCACCATCATGGGCGTGCTCGCCAACTTTGCACTTTCTCCCCAAACTCTCATGTCGGCTGGCGGTACAACCAGCTTATGTAGCTTGCTTGTTGTCAGAGTAATTCGTCAGGGAACCATCTCTTCCTAGAACCGGCAGGACGGCCAAGAATGGGGGGGGGTTGCGGCGGGTCCCAAATGAATATCACATCAACCATTCTACCACACAAAACAACTACGATTCAAAAGACGCATACCACAAGGTGGTTCTTGCCAACAGGGTTCTTCCCAGATGGTTTCGGTGCGGTCAGGTTGCATGCCAGCTTTCAGGAGCATACTGAAAAGCACAGTACAAGACGTCCAAGAGGATGGCAAGAGGATTTCAACAAAATGTCTGCTCCCCGCGTGAAGGATGGGGTTGGGTTCCTTCCGTTTCTCGGGAGAGTAAGGCCAGAAAGGCCCAGAAGACGAGCGGAACCTGACTTCTTTGTTCTTGCATCATGTTTGGTTTTTTCTTTGGTTCTCCGAATTTTGCTTTTGCCTGCTAAGTCGGCCTTAATGGTTTTCGTTGTTTGTTCGGCTTTGGCCTTCTTTTGCGGCTCCAGGTCCGGCTGGCACCTGGGGTGCTGCAGAAGGCGCTGTCCGGCGGCGTGGTGCTGAACCTCCGTGGTTCCTCGCTGGTGGACCGCAGCGAGCCCCGGCGCCTTGGACCGAAAAAAAATTCGCCCGCGACGGGCGAGATGCGGACCGAGGGGAGGGGGGGGAAGGGCTGAAGAGTGCGGGCGTGGTGGAGCGCCGCAGCAAGGCCGCGTCCGTTTGCGGCAAGAGGATCAACGCCCACTTCTTGATGTACAGATTCGAGGACGCCGAGGGGAAGAAGGAGGTGAGCGACAGCTTCATCCGCCTCGTGAAGTGAAAGCGCATCGCACAGTCTCCGCCCTGCAAGGCGAAGGGGCATTGCACAGTTTGCCCGATCGAGCACAGAGATGGAAAAACAACATACTCTTTTTTTTCGCGTTTTTTTTCTCGGTCTGCATCAGGCCATGTCCACAGCTTGCCAGGGACCCAGAGACACGCCCAACCAGCCGAGGGTTTGTCACACCTGAGACAATCCTGACTGGGGTGAGACACCTGAGACATACACAAAAACACAAACAGAAGTGTCTCAGGCGTGTCTCAAGTAGTAAGGAACATCAGCTTATAGCACCCTAATCGTTTTTCCGATGTCACCGGTCTTTGTCACCGCTCCGTTTTTGGTGCAAAAAGTGCTCAAAACAGCCAACTCCGAAAAGTTCGTTTTTTCGTGTCAGACGGCAAGTGGGGTGCCTCAGCCTCTAGATTCGCTTGGTTTCGGTCGAAAACAGGCTCCACACGCTCACCTTGCTCTCGAGTCCGCCCGGAAAAGCAGGCAAGTTTCATCCCGCTGAGCTTGTCACCACTTGTCACCGCTTCGTCACCGCTCTCTTTTGGGCCGAAAAAGTGCGCAAAAGCGGCCAAGTTCCAGAGGACTTCGTTCTTCACAGGGTTTTCCGTTTTTCGCCCAAGCACGACAGCCTGCCGAGGTCCTCGCTCGTGACACGACAACCTGCCGATCTGACGCGGCAGCCTGCCGAAGGGTTAGAGCGCTGTCTCTCCACCACCCTGGTCCGGGGGCAACCTTTGCCCATTCATGAAAAGATTGTTTCAAGCTGTTTCAATATTGACCCAAACTTGCCAAGATTGGCGTATTAGGCGACAAATACGTGAGACAAGGGAGCTGCTAGCGCTTGAGCCCGCGCTTGCCCGGCTGCTCCACCTGGTGCTCCTGCCGGGCCGCTTTGATGAAGGATTCGCAGGCCGCGTGGATGTCCTCCCCACTGTCCGCATTCGAGGCGCCGGTGGCTCTCTCCGTCTTGGTGGCCAGGAAGGACTTCACTAAGTCGCCCACCTCGTCCTTGACCTCCATCTTCAGCAGGGCCAGACATTTCGTAGGAATCGGGCCATCGCATGGGCCTGTCCTTCAAAAGGTGCTTGTAAACCATGTACAGAATCGCAAAGAAGGAGGGTGTGGTGGATTGAATTCTCGCTCAAACAGGACAACTATTCCCCAGGCCTCCACTCAAAGAGGACATCAAAACGCCCGGCCCGCTCGCGTCCATGCAAGCCTCGATTGCCGTCCAGTCGTGCACCGACGGCAGTCAGCCGAAGGGTTGGGACAGCTCTCCTAACCTAAAGTGCCCGCTCGGCACTGCCTACCCCCTAGAGTGCCCGCTCGGCACGTTTACCTAGTGCCCGCTCGGCACTGTGCCTGCTCGGCACTCCTGAGTGCCCGCTCGGCACTCCTACCTAAGTGCCAGCTCGGCACTCCCAAAGAAAGGAAAAAAAAGGCCGCGGGCCCGAGCGATTTTTCTCCGGCGGGCCGAGGTCGGGCTTCGCGGTGCCGGCGCTCACGGCTGTCCTGCGAGGGATCGAGCGCGACGGTTCGGAAAGGAAAAAAAGAGGACGGGGGGTCCTTTCCGCGAGCGCTTCGGGAGGAAGCGGCCTGACACGAGAGCGAGGCCGAACAATTTCAACGGACGACGGATGAGCCTGTGGCGTCCTCAGCCGTGCGACCTCCTCGCGCTCGCGGAGAGCGCGCGCATCGGCCTGACGGGCGCAAAGGGGGCAGAAAAAAAAAGACGTCCGGAAGCGAGCCTGATAGCCTTGCGTCCAGCGCTTCTCCGCGAGGACCTCCGCCTCGACCCGACTGAACTTCATAAAAGTTTTGCCACTTTCTGGGCGCAATACTGGGAGAGAGACTCTCAGGAAGACCAAGATGATTCCAGCGCATGGAGTGACTTCTCTGAGCTACTAAATGCATTGCCTCCGCCTGCGCAAGTTCTTGAAATGGATTTGAATAACATTGAATTGTGGAAACGGGGCATTTCACACCTGAAAAACCGAACATCGCAGGGTGTGTGTGTGGTTTCACTGCTACTGAACTCAAATCTTTGGGAAATCAGGGAGTGCAAGATCTTGCGCATATACTGCAAGGCTTCAGATGGCCGGAATGGATGATGGTAAGCAGAGTTTCTTTGCTAGCCAAAACTGATACGCCCCTGTCGCCCAATGATGCCCGTCCTATTACAGTCGCATCCTTGCTGTGGAGACTCTGGTCTGGCATAATTGCTAGGACAGTCCTGCAGTATTGGTCTTCCTTTTTTCCGGAGACTATAGCGGGATCAATACCGAATAGGAGAGCTCAGGACCTCACTTACTTTGTGCAATTCCACATTGAGAGAGCCCATTCCGCCGCATCTGGTCCGTTAACAGGTCTTAGCTGTGATCTCACCAAATGCTTCAACACCCTTCCAAGGTGGCCGTCAATTCGACTTCTTGAACATTTGGGCGTTCCTAAAACACTCTGCCATGCCTTCTTTCGTTCAATCAAAAGGGCTACGCGTACATTCTCGATCGAAGGTGCCTGTTCCTTACCTTGTGCCGCTACAACAGGTTTTGCAGAGGGATGTCCTTGGTCAGTTCTTGTTATGTCAGCATTCTGCGGGATGATGTACCATGTGCTAAAGCCTACTGGAGTAACCCCCATTTGTTACTACGACAATTGGGGTTGGATTAGCTCAGATATGTCACACAACAGGGAAGCCATGATTATGCTAAATAAGCTTGCCGATGCTACCAGGCTGCAAATTGACTGGAACAAATCCTGGGGATGGGCCACTAAAACCGAGTTGCTTCTATCTTGGAAGCCTGTCTGCGGAAGTTCTTGGTTCTTCTGATGCTATGCAGTGCAAGATAGAAGCACAGGACTTAGGATGCATCCTTCATTATCTAAAGTGTCACCATTTGCTTGGGCAGACCAACCGGTTTGAAGCTGCAGCCCGTACTATTAAAGCAATTACCCACAGTGCGACTAGTATGAAGGTCAAAGGAAAATTATCCAAACCTCTGCATGGCCAAAGGCGTTCCATGGCTGTGAATTGTTTCCTTTAGGAAGACAACACTATGAACCCTTAAGATCGCTTGCAACTTCCTGCCTACTTGGAGGTGAATGCAAAGCCTCTCCTTACTTGGCCTGCAATGCCCTGTTGGTCAAATTGCAGGATCCAGAGGAATTTGTCGCTCTGTTGTGCCTAAGACACTTTAGCCGCTTTTTGCTTCGTAATCCAGACTTAAGGGTTGAGGCGCTGAATCGGGTCATCTCGCATCCTGCTAATTACCAGCGGGTATATGGTCCCTGTGGCACCGTGGCATACACTCTTAGTAAACTTGGATGGACTATTGATGCAGAGGCCGGGTTGCAGTGTGATTTGCCCACATCAATCCACTTTCTTGATACGCCGTGGCCTTGCATCCAACAACACGTTCACCAGGCTTGGATGAGAATTGTTGCTGTACGAATTTCTCACCGAAAGCCTATGACAGATGCGCTGCATGTTAGTAGAAAAAATACAGCCAGTGTATTATCCATGTGCGAATTCGGTACTGCAAAAACTGCAGCCAGACAAATCTGCGGAGGATACCAACATGGTACTCGCAAGGCAATTTGGTTGGCAGGGTATGACGGAGCTTGCGCAATGTGTGGAGAACCTGATGAGTACCAACATAGATTCACTCAGTGCATTAAAACTCAACCTGCCAGAGATAACTTCCCCGAAGTTATCGAAGCTTGCCTTCCTGATAATACCTTGTGGAGATGCCCGGTATCCTACCGGCATGAAGATGCAGATGCCCTTGCTGCTTTATGCTATATGCAAGCGGAACCAAAAATCTCTGATGCAATCTTGGATACAATCACATGGGAACTACCTCTTGAGGTGTACACCGACGGCAGTGGTTTGTACCAAACGTGTCCGGAGGCACGTCTATCGGGTTGGGCCATCGTAGTAGTGCAGTTTACTTCTAATGCCCATAAGAGTGCGTCTATTGATAACTTCGTCAGGAATAGGATTATTCCTTCTCAATTCAAAGTTGCTCTGGCATCCCAAACTTCAGGAGCACAGACTGTCGCCCGCTCGGAACTACAGGCTGCGGTCCTAGCCCTTGAATGTTTGCCCGGCGCTTGTGTATATAGCGACAGCCAGTATGTTGTTGATCTTGCGCGCAGCATTTCCCGTTGCAGTGAAGTTTGGCATCACTCATCTGCCCCTAACTTTGACTTGATACGCCGATTGCATTCTGTGAGTAGGCTGAGGCAGATCAGAATCTGCAAAGTTAAGGCACACCAAGACCCATTTGCGCAGACCAATGCAGACTCAACATTTAATACACTTGGTAATGCCATTGCTGATGAAGCAGCCAGACAATCACTTGCAGGAAGAGCTTGCGACATGCGTCAAATTGCAGGAAAAATCTTCCATGACTTGCAAAGACAAAATCACCTGCTAGGTAGAATGTTTGAATTTTTCCAGGAAATACATACCATTGAACTCAGGGCTTCTGAGGCGGCGACTGCCTTCCGGCCGCACAGGGGTCCAGATGCCCAAAACAGACTTATTAACTGGCGCATCCAGGAATTTGCGTCTTGGGCCGAACCACTTGATGAAGGCAAACTTGACCATTGGATCTGGGGTACAGCTTTTGGAAAATCAATCCACTTGTGGGCCAGCGCCATTAAGTGGCCACCCAAGCAAGCACTTGACGACCCCGGAATCTCGCACCTTGAATTGTTGCTCTCCTTCTTACTGAGCTCTAACATGGAACTGCCTAGATTGACTTCGACCGCACGGCAGGTGTATGTTTATCAAGCAGCCGAACAAAATTCTGCAGTTGCCTTGTTGCCATGGAGTTGGCCTGACCAACAAAAGGCATTTGAAGGAGCATTGCGCAGCTTTCATAACACCGTGACTCATATCAGGGCACGCTTTCGGATGCAAACGGCCCTTTAAGGGTTTCGTGGCCAGACCAGAATTTCCTTGCCAAGAGATGGTAGCAAAATTGCTGATTGATGGTTTTCAACATGGAACGGTTCTCCATCTTGACATATCCACGCTTAAGCAGGCCGCTACATCCGAAT